ATCCTATAATGGATACATTGAAGAATAATTTAAATAAGTTGGATGAATATTGTGTAGAAAATTTCCATAGTTTGGTTTGAAGACACACAAATGCAAAAGTGAACACAGCAAGTCTCTCAGGCATAATGCATTATTTATTGACCATTGCAAATCTGAAAATAACTTCATGTCTATACATGAAGTCGAAACTATTTCAACCATTTGCAGATCTGGTCGAAATAGGGTTGAAACTGATTTTTACTATGTAGTTGCCTCAAGTCGAAACATTTTGACTTTGGGTTTTAATTTCAATTTCATGTATATTCATGTCATCATTTGCACCAAAAAAAGATTATCCTTATAAAAAAAAAGATCTTGATGAATTAATTAAAAAAACTGCATTATTTCTTTTGGATTTTTTGATGAGATTTCAAAAAATGATGGTAGAGTAGAAAAGAAAATAGAAGGCAAAAAAATCAAAAAACCTTATTATTATATTTTGTCAATTAAATCTGGTTTCTGTGCTGATGTTTTGCCACTTGGGTACCATACAAAAACATCACCAATTATTGAAAAGTTATGTGATTATGATATATATCAATAAACTTTGGTTTCGAATTTTTTAATTAATTTGATTGGTTGATCGCATGATCTGCATACAGGTTTAATCGACCAATGAGAGGATTTTTAACTATGCTGAGGGTTCCATACATAAATAATTAATGTGTACACATTTGTCCTCCGAAAAATGTTTAAACAAAACTAAATAACTAAAAAGAAGAAACTGACAGGTAAGTGTTTATCAAAAGAATGGTGGTGGTTATTGCCACTTGTCATCACTATAGTTAATTTTAATTATGTGATGACTTACATTGTTTTTTAAAAATAAAAAAAATTTACAATAGGGTGCCAATTAGTCCATCCTCAAAATTATTGAATGAGTCCAACTTGTATGATCTAGAAATTCGAGTAGGCGAAGAAGAGGATGCCAAAACTTTTAAAGTTCATTCTATAGTTTTAAAAGCAAGATCACCATATTTTAAAGCTGCTTTATCTAGTAATTGGATGAAAATGGCATGCTTTTATTTGAAAAAAAAAATTTTTACCAAAAACATTTGAAGTTATTTTAAAGTAAGAAATATTTAGCACAAGAAAGAAATTAGTTGGCATTGGTACTATGCTTCGTTATCCTTTTTTGTTTAGAGAGTTTTAGAAGCGATAATCA